GCACCCAATGCATTCAAGGTTTCTTCTTTGCCCCTTGCCTTCTATTAGCCTGCTTAATTCCACTTCCCAACCACATTCTACTTGGAGTCCCTGGCCCTATTCCTTAGGCCTAGTGGTAGGGGTGGGGATGGAAGGAAGACTTTTTAAAAAAAATTTCAACAAAGATATTGCATGGGACATATTTATACTAACAAATTATTCATTGTTTATCTGAAATTCAAATTTAACTGGGCCTCCTTATTTTTATGTGCTAAATCTGGCAGTTCTAGTTGGAATGCCCCAGCCAAGAACGCAGCTATACTGGTCAAGAAGGGATCAAAGGCACCTATCAGGGACTGGAGAATGACGGGCAGTAGCATCTCTTTCTCTCTTCCCTCCCCTCTATCCCCTACACCTCTTTAAAGGTATATACTTGCATTTCTAAACTTGCTTCCATGTGCTGAGCACACTTATAGGCAGGCACCTCTTGTGGGACAGGTTGCTATGCCATCCTAGGGGGTTGAGAAACAGGGGCCTCTGGGACCAAGAGGACCTGGGTTCAAATCTTGAATCTGGCCGGGCACGGTGACTCATGCCTGTAATCCCAGCACTTCGGGAGGCCGAGGCGGGCGGATAACAAGGTCAGGAGATCGTGACCATCCTGGCTAACACGGTGAAACCCCGTCTCAACTAAAAATACAAAAAATTAGCCGGGCGTGGTGGTGGGCGCCTGTAGTCCCAGCTACTCGGGAGGCCGAGGCAGGAGAATGGCATGAACCCAGGAGGCAGAGCTTGCAGTGAGCCGAGATCGGGCCACTGCTCTCCAGCCTGGACAACAGAGTGAGACTCCATCTCAAAATACGCATATATATATATATATATATATATATATATATATATATATATATCTTAAATCTATCACGTATCAGTCATGTGACCTTGGGCAAGTGACTGAGCATCTCTGGTCTCAGTTAGCTCATCTGTAAAACAGCATCTGGCATACTATGCTGGGGTTAAAGGAGATAATGCTCTGGAAGCACTCAGTGCAATACTTGGCATATAATAATTGCTCAATAAATGGTCCCAGATTTAGTTATACTAGGGCAGATCCAGGTTTTGTGGGGCCTCAAGCTTATATAATTTGGGAAACTCTCTTTAAGAAAATAATACAGGCCGGGCGCGGTGGCTCAAGCCTGTAATCCCAGCACTTAGGGAGGCCGAGACGGGCGGATCACGAGGTCAGGAGATCGAGACCATCCTGGCTAACACGGTGAAACCCCGTCTCTACTAAAAATACAAAAAACTAGCCGGGTGAGGTGGCGGGCGCCTGTAGTCCCAGCTACTCCGGAGGCTGAGGCAGGAGAATGGTGTGAACCCGGGAGGCGGAGCTTGCAGTGAGCTGAGACCCGGCCACTGCACTCCAGCCCAGGCTACAGAGCAGGGCTACAGAGCAAGACTCCGTCTCAAAAAAAAAAAAAGAAAATAATACAGGCCAGGCGCGGTGGCTCAAGCCTGTAATCCCAGCACTTTGGGAGGCCGAGACAGGCGGATCACGAAGTCAGGAGATCGAGACCATCCTGGCTAACACAGTGAAACCCTGTCTCTACTAAAAAATACAAAAAAACTAGCCAGGTGAGGTGGCGGGTGCCTGTAGTCCCAGCTACTCGGGAGGCTGAGGCAGGAGAATGGCATAAACCTGGGAGGCGGAGCTTGCAGTGAGCTGAGATCCAGCCACTGCACTCCAGCCTGGGCGACAGAGCGAGACTCCGTCTCAAAAAAAAAAAAAAAAAAAAGAAAAGAAAAGAAAAAAAAGAAAGTAATACAAAGTTGGCCCGGCATGGTGGCTCATGCCTGTAATCCCAGCACTTTGGGAGGCCGAGGCGGGCAGATCACAAGGTCAGGAGTTCGAGACCAGCCTGGCCAATGTGGCAAAACCCCTTCTCTACTAAAAATACAAAAATTAGCCAGGTGTGGTGGCGGGCACCTGTAATCCCAGCTACTCAGGAGGCTGAGGCAAGAGAATCGCTTGAAATCAGAGGGCGGAGGTTGAAGTGAGCCGAGATCACACCACTGCACTCCAGCCTGGGCTACAGAGTGAGACTCAGTTGAAAGAAAGAAAGAAAGGAGAGAGAGAGAGAGAGAGAGAAAGAGAGAAAGAAAAAAGAGAGAAAGAAAGAAAGAGAGAGAGACGGAGGGAGGGAGGGAGGGAAAGGAATGAAACAGAAAAAGACCCTAGCACGGCCGGGTGCAGTGGCTCACGCCTGTAATCCCAGCACTTTGGGAGGCCAAGGCAGGTAGATCACCTGAGGTCGGGAGTTCGAGACCAGCCTGACCAACATGGAGAAACCCCGTCTCTACTAAAAACACAAAATTAGCCGGGCATGGTGGCGCATGCCTGTAATCCCAGCTACTCAGGGAGGCTGAGGCAGGTGAATCGCTTGATCCTGGGAAGCGGAGGTTGCGGTGAGCCAAGATCGCGCCATTGTACTCTAGCCTGGACAACAAGAGCGAAACTCTGTCTAAAAAATAATAGGCCAGGCGCGGTGTTGCATGCCTGTAATCCCAGCACTTTGGGAGGCCGAGGCGGGTGAATCACAAGGTCAGGAGATCGAGACCACGGTGAAGCCCCGTCTCTACTAAAAATACAAAAAATTAGCCAGGTGCAGTGGCGGGCGCCTGTAGTCCCAGCTACTCAGGAGGCTGAGGCAGGAGAATGGCGTGAACTTGGGAGGCGGAGCTTGCAGTGAGCCGAGATTGTGCCACTGCACTCCAGCCTGGGCGACAGAGCGAGACTCTGTCTCAAAATAATAATAATAATAAATAAATAAATAAATAAATAAATAAATAAAAATAAAACCCTAGCACATGCATGTAGTAAGGATAAAGTGGAGTTTTGTATGGGTGTCCAGAGTGATGATGTAAAATTGACTTATTCCTTGGACCGTTGTGACAAACATTCGAGAAATATTGCTGTATATGGAACACAGCAGCCCTTCTGGATGGCCATCAATATCCCTGTTTTCTCTTGGGCTGGTGTTAGGGTTAGGGTGAGGATCAGGGGAACTGAGGTAAGCAATTTGCCCAGGATGTCTTAGGGCTAGTGAGAAAAGTTCAGCATGTATCAAAACTGACCCCTTACTCCCACCCCATCATCCAGCCCAGGACTGGTCAACGTGCCTCTCAGTCCTGCAGCTTACAGCCCTGCAGGAAGAGGACAGGCTGACCTGGCTCTGGGAGTCACTGATTCATCATACCTTGAAGGGCTTGCACCTGGACGAGTGCGCAGGCGGCCTTAGAGGCCATCGGGATGTTAGGGTCAGGGTTAGAGGTGTCCTTTCTCCCCAGGCCCCAGCCCTGCCCTGCTGGCGTGTCCCGAAAGGTTAGTCCAGTCAGAAAAGCTACTGTGGATGCCATGCTTCATTGGACCCTACTCTGTGCCACTCTGACCTAGAGCTACGGTCCTCAGAACACTGAGTCCCCAAGACTCCAGAGGAGGCAGGTGTTATCATTCTCCATTTTGCAGAAAAGGAACCCTGAGATTCCACAAGCTAAAGCAGCTTTCCCAAGGTCACAGAGCAGAGCTGGGAACTGAGCCATGGCAGCTTTGGCTTCACCCATTACCCTCAAGAGCCCCAGTCAAGGGTACCAGGAGGGGAACCAGAGGAAAGAAGTTCGGGTAACTACAGGTCCCTCCCTCTACAAAGATCCTGCCTTCCCCCCTTCACTCTTCACCCCGGTCCAGGCAAACCCATCCTCTCTGCATCCCAGATCCCAGGAAGAAACCCGGACTGGCAGACAATGCCCAGTCGCAGTGGGCGGTAGAAAGGGTGGAGCCAGCTGGAGTGGGAACGGGAGTAGGGATGGGGGGAGGAGCTGGGGTCAGAACTCACGCCCCAGGGAGGAGGCTCGGAGAGGGGCCAAGCCTCTGAAAGAGAATGAGCCCATTCAGAGCCGGGAAGCCAGAGGAAAAAACCTAGTCTGGTGTCTGACAAGAGGAGAGGAAGGGGGGCAGGGGTGGGTGCTGCTGATTCGATTTCCTTCTTAACTCTCCCTCCAGCAGGGCCTGGCAGGAGAGCCCAGGAAAGAGGATGTCTGAGGGACAAAGACAGTGAGGGGGACCCTCAGGGAAGAGAAGGGGGTGCTGGTGAGAGGGGTCTAGCTAGGGGGCTGGGGAGAGGGAGATGGAACAGAGCGGGGCTGACTGTGGGACAGAGGGCAGTAAACCCAGATCAGGGCAGATGTGTGTGTTTTGCCCAAGACCCCGTCCTGTGGGCAGTGGAGTGACCACTGACACCAAAGAGGCAGGACAGGGCTCTAGCTTCCGAGGGTGACCTCTAAGTCAACAGACTGGGGCTGGAACCAGCAGCCTGTGAAATGCCAGTCAATCATTGACCAGCATGGAGACTGGGGGACACAAGAGACTCGTGTGTGTGTGTGTGTGTGTGTGTGTGTATGTGTGCACGCACGCACGCGCGTGTTTGTGTGTGTGTGTGTACACGTGCACCAAAGTCTCCTCCCTCTACCTACTTCACCAGCCAGCCTGGGGTCAGAGGACTGAAAGCAAACAGAAATCGGGAGGAGCCGTCTGGTACATAGTCCGAGGTCCAGGCCACAAACTGAGGCCTACCCCACAGTGCCTTGAGGCTGGGGCACAGGTTGCTGAGGAAGTGACTGTAGGAATTAGTTCATTGGAAAGAGTCCCTCAGAGTAGGCTTGAGGCGTCCCTTTGGGCCAAAGACGGATAACTTAGTTAGAAGCTTCTGATGGGAAAATTGGTCCCTCCTCGGGGTGGCCTTTGATGAGCACTTGTATCCTAACCACTGCGAGGCCACCCCTGGAGCCCAGGGTTAGCCCTAGTCTCCAGGACAGCAAAGGGGCAGAACCAAGCTTGCCAGACACCCTGACCCTGGGCCCCTCTTACCCGCATCTCAGGAATGCAGGCCCTGGCCCCAGGAGTCGCTTTTATCTCTCCCCAGGCTGCTCTGCTGAAACAAAAAGCCGTCTTCTGTCCTGGGACTCACCTCACTTTTGTGCATGTCCACAAAAGCACATGTCACTGTCATCACTGCCTGCACAGGCATGGCTGTCAGGGTCTGAATCTCTGTGCTGCACTGCGTTTGTCCTGGCCATACTACTCATGCCCCCATTTTATCTGTGACTCTTTCCTCAGGGAGTAGCTTTGCATGTGGCCTTGAACATAGTTTTGCTTTGCCGTCTGAAATAGACGAGTTGGACAGAATGGGTCCTGGTCACAATATTTTCAGATTTGGTATAGGGACAGTGACCCCTTCAACCCCCACGCTTGTCCCTTGAAAGCCCCACTGAGCCATCCTTCTCCCAGATTCTGGATTCCTTGTTTCAGGAGCACTAAGTCTTCCTGCCCGCTCCATTCCACTGATCCATGGGGCCTTTCAGGACATCACTTGCTCACTCGACTTGCTGCTGGAGGTATAGACCGCTGGGGTGTGAATGAGGGCATTCTTGCCTCTGGCTTTTGGTCTGAGGAAGAGGAGACTAGGAACCTTTGAGAAGCGTACAACTATGGCAATCACAAATCTTGATTTCAGGGAACAATTCATTTCTGATGGTTTCATTCACTGAACCCACCTGGTTGATTCTTCTCTTCCTTTGCCCTTCACATCCAATCATTCTTTAAGATCTATCAACTCCTCTTTTTAATATATTTATGCTTATTCTACCTCCATCTCCAGCTAGTCTGTGTCTCTATCATTTCTCCTTTGGGCTAAAGCAGCAGACTTTGATCACTACCCACTCCACCAGTGCTACTTTTGACACCCTGCAATGTTCCCCCCAGCAACAGCAGCCAAAGTAAATGTTTTATTATTATTATATATATATATATATATATTTTTTTTTTTTTTTTTTGAGACAGAGTCTCACTATCATCCAGGCTGGAGTGCAGTGGTGTGATCTCGGCTCACTGCAACCTCTGTGTCCTGGATTCGAGCGATTCTCCTGCCTCAGCCTCCCAAGTAGCTGGGATTGCAGGCATGTGCCACCACATCCAGCTAATTTTTGTATTTTTAATAGAGGTAGAGTTTCTCCATGTTGGCCAGGCTGGTCTCGAACTCCTGACCTCAGGTGATCTGCCCACCTCAGCCTCCCAAAGTGCTGGGATTACAGGCATGAGCCACTGCGCCTGGCCTATTTATTTTTTAACTGAGACTCCTGACCTGAGGTGATCCACCTACCTCGGCCTCCCAAAGGGCTAGGATTACAGGCGTGCGCCACTGCACCCGGCCCTAGTATTATTATTATTATTATTATTATTATTATTATTATTATTATTATTTTGAGATGGAGTCTCACTCTGTTGCCCAGGCTAGAATGCAACAGTGCGATCTTGGCTCACTGCAACCTCTGCCTCCCAGGTTCAAGCAATTCTCCTGCCTCAGCCTCCTGAGTAGCTGGGATTACAGGCGCGCACCACCATGCCTGGTTAATTTTTGTATTTTTAGTAGAGATGGGGTTTCACCATGTTGGCCAGGCTGATCTCGAACTCCTGACCTTGTGATTCGCCCGCCTTGGCCTCCCAAAGGGCTGGGATTACAGGCGTGAGCCATTGTGCTCGGCCGCTATTATTATTATTTTAGAGACGGGCTCTCACTCTGTCACCCATGCTGCAGATCAGTGGCCTGATCATAGCTCAATTTTGAACTTCGAACTCTGAGCGATCCTCCTGCCTTGGTCTCCCAAAGTGTTGGGATTACAGGTGTGAATCACTGTGCCTAGACCAAAGTAAATGTTCTGCTTGTTTGTTTGTTTGTTTTCTGAGATAGTCTTGCTCTGTCGCCCAGGCTGGAGTGCAGTGGCACAATCTCGGCTCACTGCAAGCTCCACCTCCCAGGTTCACGCCATTCTCCTACCTCAGCCTCCTGAGTAGCTGGGACTACAGGCACCTGCCACCACGCCCGGCCAACTTTTTGTTTTTTTTAGTAGAGACAGGGTTTCACTATGTTAGCCACGATGGTCTTGAACTCCTGACCTCGTGATCCACCCGCCTCGGCTTCCCAAAGTGCTGGGATTATAGGCATGAGCCACCGCGCCCGGCCCAGTAAATGATTTTTTTTTTTTTTTTTTTTTTGAGACGGAGTCTTGCTCTGTCACCCAGGCTGGAGTGCAGTGGCCGGATCTCAGCTCACTGCAAGCTCTGCCTCCCGGGTTCACGCCATTCTCCTGCCTCAGCCTCCTGAGTACCTGGGACTACATGCACCCGCCACCTCGCCCGGCTAGTTTTTTGTATTTTTTTTAGTAGAGATGGGTTTTCACGTGTTAGCCAGGATGGTCTCGATCTTCTGGATCTCTTGACCTCGTGATCCGCCCGTCTCGGCCTCCCAAAGTGCTGGGATTACAGGCTTGAGCCACCGCGCCCTGCCATAAATGTTTTAAACATAAATCAAGTTGTGCCATTTGCTCCAGGACCAAAATACTCCTCATTGGCTTCCCGTTGTCTCAACTCTTCACCATGACCTGAGACCTGTCTCTGGCTGCTGCTTCAGTCTCACAGCAGTCCAGCCAGTAGCTTCTTTTCTGCTTTTCAATGATGCCAAGCAAGTTCCTACCTTAGGGCCTTTGCAGTGGCAGTTCCCTCAGCCTAGAACAATCTGTCCCCAGGTGTTTTTTTTGTGTGTGGTTTTTTGTTTTGTTTTGCTTTTTGAGACAGGGTCTCACTCTGTTGCCCAGGCTGGAGTGCAATGGCATGATCTCAGCTCACTGCAACCTCCACCTCCCAGGTTCAAGTGATTCTCCTGCCTCAGCCTCCCCAGTAGCTGGGATTACAGGCACATACCACCACGCCTGGCTAATTTTTTTTTTTTTTCTTTTTGAGATGAAGTCTCTACCTCCCAGCCTGGAGTGCAGTAGCATGATCTTGGCTCACTGCAACCTCCGCCTCTCGGGTTGAAGCAATTCTCCTGCCTCAGCCTCCTGAGTAGCTGGGACTACAGGCGTGCACCACTGTGCTCACCTAATTTTTTTTTTTTTTTTTTGTATTTTTAGTAGAGACAGGGTTTCACCCTGTTGGCCAGGCTGGTCTCAAACACCTGACCTCAAGTGATCCACCCACCTCGGCCTCCCAAAGAGCCAGGATTACAGGCAGGAGCTGCTGTGCCCAGCCCCAGGTGTTAATGTGGCTGTTTCCTTCTGGTCATGCTGGTTTCAGCTCAAAAAAGCCTTTCCTAGCCACCCAATCCAAAGTAGGCTTTCCCTCCCTCCCCATTCCCCTCCTCCTGCTGTCACTGTCACATTATCCAGTTACACAGTTCACTTGAATACAACATGGAGGATATGGGTGCTATCCCTTATGCAGTCAAACATCTGTGCATAACTTTTTTTTTTTTTTCCCGAGACAATGTCTCGCTCTGTCGCCCAGGCTGGAGTGCAGTGGCACAATCATAGCTCACTGCTACCTTGAACTCTTGGGCTCAAGCAATCCTCCCACCTCAGTCTCCCAAGTATCTGGGAATACAGGTGCATGCCACCATGCCTGGCTAATTTTTAGAAAAATATTTATTTTGTAAAGACAGGGTTTTGCTGTGTTGCCAGAGTCACCTGGAACTCCTGGCCTTAAGCAATCTTCCCTCCTGCCTCCCAAAGTGCTGGGTGCTGGGACTAGAGGCATGAGCCACCAGCATGCCCAGCCTTTTTTTTTTTTTTTTTTTTTTTTAAGAGACAGGTTCTTGCTCTGTACCCAGGCTAGAGTGCAGTGGTGTGATCATGGTTCACTGTAACCACAAATTCCTGTGCTCAAGCGATCTGTGTATGTATACCTTTTGACTCCCCCAAAACTTAACTACTGGCCAGTACCATGGCTCATGCCTGTAATCCCAGCACTTAGGTAGGCTGAGGTAGCAGGACTGCTTGAGCTCAGGATTCAAGACCAGCCTAGGCAATAGGGAAACACTGTCTTTACAAAAATTTAAAAAAATGAGCTGGGCATGGTGGCAAGCACCTTTATTCCCAGCTACTGGAGAGGCTGAGACAAGAGGATTGCTTGAGCCCAGGAGTTTTTGGTTGCAGTGAGCCACGATCGCACCACAGCACTCCAGCCTGGGCAACAGAGGGAGACCTTGTCACAAAACAAAAAAACTAATAATCTACCGTTTACCAGAATCCTTATCAATAGCAAACAGTCCGATCACACACATTTTGTATGTGATATGTATTATATACTGTATTTTTACAATAAAGGAAGCTAGAGAAAAGAAAATGTTACTAAGAAAATCATAAGTAAGAAAAAACATATTTACCATTCATTAAGCGGAAGTGGATCATCACAAAGGTTTTCATTCTCATCACCTTCACACTGAGTAGGCTGAGGAGGAGGAAAAGAAAGGAAAAGAGATGGGCTTTGGTCTTACTATTTTGGGGGTGGTAGAGGTGGAAGAAATGTGAGTATAAATGGACCCATGCAGTTCAAACCTGTGTTGTTCAAGGGTCAGCTGCATTTAACTCGATGCTTGCTACTGCATGAAATTGTTTGTACATTTTTTCTTCGCGTTTTTGTTTTTGTTTTGAGACAGAGACTTGCTCTGTCACCCAGGCTAGAATGCAGTGGTAAAATCTTGGCTCACTGCAACCTCTGCCTCCCAAGTTCAAGCGATTCTCCCGCCTCAGCCTCCCTAGTAGCTGGGATCACAGGCACCTGCCATCATGCCCGGCTAATTTTTGTATTTTTGTAAAGATGAGCTTTCACCATTTTGTTCAGGCTGGTCTTGAACTCCTGACCTCAGGTGATCTGCTGGCCTCAGCCTCCTTAAGGGCTGGGATTACAGGCAGAAGCCACCGCACCCGGCTTTTCTTTGTTTTTAATTGGTTATATACACAGGCGGTACACAATTTTAAAGGTACAAAAATAAAAAGTATTCCTGGTCGGCTGCAGTGGCTCATGCTTATAATTAATCCTGGCACTTTGGGAGACTGAGGCAGGCAGATCACCTGAGGTCGGGAGTTCGAGACCAGCCTGACCAACATGGAGAAACCCTGTCTTTACTAAAAATACAAAATTAGCCAGGCATGGAGGCACATGCCTATAATCCCAGCTACTCCGGAGACTGAGGCAGGAGAATCGCTTGAACCTGGGAGGCAGAGGTTGCGGTGAGCCAAGATTGTGTCACTGAACTCCAACCTGGACAACAAGAGCAAAAACTCAGTCTCAAAAAAAAAAAAAAAGTGTTTCTTACTTCCCTATTGATCAGACACATAGTCCTACTTCCCACCAGAGGCAAGAACTATTTCTACTTTCTTATTTATCTTTCTAGATATATTCTCTAAAATAACAACCATAATACTATGCGCATAACACGTACCCTTATTTTTCTTCACATGGGGTACTGTATATAAGTGTATAGGTGCACATACACATGCATACACACACACACATTTTGTTCTGCACTGTGCATTTGATACTTATCAAAAATATTTGGCCAGGTGTGGTGGCTCATGCCTATAATCCCAGCACTTTGGGAGGCTGAGAGGGGTGGATCACATGAGGTCAGGAGTTCAAGACCAGCCTTACCAACATGGTGAAGCCCCGTCTGTACTAAAAAATACAAAAATTAGCCAGGTGTGGCAGCGCACACCTGTAATCCCAGCTACTCGGGAGGCTGAGGCACGACAGATATATATATATATATATCATTAAGGTTTTACCATGCCAGTATATTACAAATCTGCCCCATTCCTATTAATTTGTCTTCAGCTTTCCATTGTATGGCTCTCCCTCCATTAATATAATTCATTCCCTATTGATGGATATTTCGTTGTTTCCTTTTTTCTTCTTGCTATTGAAAGCAATGACTAATGCTACCACAAATAACCGTACTTACACAAATTTGCACTTGTTTAGGTATACTGGAGCTTATGTAGGTATACCTAGGAGTGAAATTGCTGGGTTAGAGGGTATGTGTGTGTGTGTATATATATATTTTTTATGTAGATGGAGTCTCACTCTGTCACCAGGCTGGAGTGCAGTGGCGCAATCTAGGCTCACTGCAACCTCCGACTCCCTGGTTCAAGCAATTCTCCTGCCTCAGCCTCCCGAAGTAGCTGGGATTACAGGCACACGCCACCACCTTCAGCTAATTTTTTTGTATTTTTAGTAGAGAAGGGGTTTCACCATGTTGGCTAGGATGGTCTCTATCTCCTGATCTCATGATCTGCCTGCCTTGGCCTCCCAGAGCGGTGGGATTACAGATGCAAGCCACCACACCTGGTTTCAGTCTTTTGTTTGACACTTGTTTATGGCCTGTCTCCCTCCTCTGACCATGAAAAGGACAGTGCCTTGTTCATTACTCTGTTCCCAGAGAACTGCACATGGTAAACTTCAATAAATATTTGATGAATAAGGAACCCTCATTGTAGACTCTCTACCAATTTTGTTCTAAGAATATGGTCAGCTTGCCATTCAGCCTTCAGCACACTATACTTTTTTTTTTTTTTTTTTTTGAGACAGAGTTTTGCTCTTGTTGCCCAGGCTGGAGTGCAATGGCACGATCTCCACTCTCCACAACCTCCACCTCCCGGATTCAAGTGATTCTCCTGCCTCAGCCTCCCAAGTAGCTGGGATTACAGGCATGTGCCACCACACCCGGCTAATTTTGTATTTTTAGTAGAGACGGGGTTTCTCCATGTTGGGTCAGGCTGGTCTCGAACTCCTGACCTCAGATGATCCAACTGCCTTGCCCTCCCAAACTGCTGGGATTACAGGCATGAGTCACCGTGCCTGGCCAGCACACTATACTATAACATATGCTTTGTCTTTCTCTTTCTTCCCCCCATGAGTACAATGGCTGATACACAGTAGGACTCAATAAGCCTGAGTTGAAGGAATGAATTAATGACTTTTCCGACTGTGGCTCACATCTGAAGCCAAATACAAGTTAGGAAGAAGGATAAGCTAAGGAGGCTCAGGGGAGAACTAGGGGCTGCAGGCTAGAAAGTTGGGAAGGGCCGGGCGCGGTGGCTCAAGCCTGTAATCCCAGCACTTTGGGAGGCCGAGACGGGCGGATCACCAAGTCAGGAGATCGAGACCATCCTGGCTAACCCGGTGAAACCCCGTCTCTACTAAAAATATACAAAAAAAAACTAGCTGGGCGAGGTGGCGGGCGCCTGTAGTCCCAGCTACTCGGGAGGCTGAGGCAGGAGAATGGCATAAACCCAGGAGGCGGAGCTTGCAGTGAGCTGAGATCCGGCCACTGCACTCCAGCCTGGGCGACAGAAAAAAAAAAGAAAGTTGGGAAGAGGAGAGGCCAGGTAATCACTATCTAGACATTGTTGTCTGGGGCTGTGCTGGCAGGAAAATTCTCAAGAGCTGTCCCAGAGAGACAATACCCCATCTTCCAAGAAGTCAACAGGACAGAAGTCTCTACTCCCCCTTCCAACATTAACCTAGGATTGCTTTTTCCATCAGGTATCTAGGCATGAGTTTTCAAGGACCTCTGAAACACTTTAGACCTCAACAATTTCCATTGTTAGTTCTAAAATATAAGAAAGCTGTGAAAATTAATATTGTATGGCCATGTGGCGCGGCTCATGTCTGTAATCCCAGCACTTTAGGAGGTTGAGGTGGGAAGATCACCTGAGCCCAGGAATTGGAGACCAGCCTAGGCAACATATCTAGACCCTGTCTCTACAAAAAATAAAAAAATTAGCCGGACATAGTGGTGCATGCTGCAGTCCCAGCTACTCAGGAGGCTGAGGTGGAAGGATCACTTGCATCTGGGAGGTCGAGGTAGCAGTGATGGAGTGCAATGGCATGATCTCGGCTCACCGCAACCTCTGCCTCCCGGGTTCAAGCAATTTTCCTGCCTCAGCCTCCGGAGTAGCTGGGATTACAGGCATGTGCCACCACGCCCGGCTAATTTTGTATTTTTAGTAGGGACCAGGTTTCTCCATGTTGGTCAGGCTGGTCTCAAACTCCCAACCTCAGGTGATCCGTCCACCTCGGTCTCCCAAAGTGCTGGGATTATAGGCGTGAGCCACCACCCCCAACGTTACGTACAAATTTTCTAAAGGGGAGAATCCCTACTTTGTCAGGATTTCATCCTCTTTAATCCTAAATGTCCTCATCTTTAAATGAGGATCCTTATAAAAAGACTCATCCCAGAGTCACAGTAAGGACAAAATGAAATGAAAAAAAAAAAAAAGTATTGTAAAAGAACTAATCTGTAAGATGCAAAGTAGCATTAGCACTGGATTTCCGGTCAGCTCCTGGAGGGCTAAAGGTTGTTTTATTCATTTCAGCTTCTCAGTCAGTATCAGTTGGGTGGTCAACTCCAGGGGACACTATTCATGTTATATTTAACTGGAAGAATTGCCATTCACAGAAAATGTAATGTGAATGCTGCTCCCCAGAGCACCATTCACAGATAATGCAATGTGAATGGTGCCTCCTGGAGATTTTGCCTTGCTTAGCAAGGTGCTAGAGCTAAGGACTCAGAAATGTTTGTGAAGTGACTGAATGGAATCCCACTCTACTTCTTACTCATTCCAACCCCCAGGACAAAAAAGGAAAAGTTGACAAGGGGTGAGGAGAGTGGGGGAGGAGAAAGGGTGATCCTTAGCTACAAGGCTTCTCTGAGACTGGGTGTGGGTCGCTGCTGGTGGGAATGCAGGGGAGGTGAGAGGGGAGAGGACACTAAAGCAAGCGTCCTGTTCCCAGGGTTCTCCTAATTTTCCTAGAAATATTACATCTCTCCGATCTCAGTGTAGAACCATACTGATGATTTTACAGCCCTGGATTTGTCAAGCTCTTATGTTGATGTATGCTGTTCATTCATTAAACAGACGAACAAACAAACGCACTTAGCGCCTACCATGAGCCAAATGCTGTGCTAGCACTGGAGGTAGAGTGGTGAACAGGATAGCAAAGGTTCTACCTCGCGTGGGGAAGCAATCACTCTCGGGAGGTGGTACTTCAATTGCGACTACAAGAAAAAAGAGGAGTGAGCGATTCAGACCAGGCCAGGTAGTCAGGAAGCTTGAGGGACATAACCCTCTGAAGCGGGTCTGGAGCAAGGGAGTGAGGGAGACTAGTGGGCAGGGGCCAAATCACGCACGGCTTGTGGAGATTGTATTTTATCCAAGGTAATTGGGAGCCAGTAAATAATTTTAAGAAAAAAAAGCGATACGCGCAAATTTTAATTTTTCAAAATGGAGCGCAGGTTGGAAGGGGCAAAAGTAGAGGCAGGGAGAGCCGTTAAGAGGCTACTGCAGCTGTCTTGGCGACACATGATGTCTAACCAGGGTGGTGCCAGAAGAGATGGAGAGAAGTGGGTAGTTACAGGTACGTTTAGGAAGTAAAATCCGACAGGGCTGGTGACAGTAAACAGCCCAACCTCAAAAAAGATCCTGGAAAAGAAAACACTTTAGTTTGCTCATTAACCCATCAGGCGTCCCCCTTCCCTTAACCCTTAACCCTGTCGCCTCGATATACGGACACAGCAGGGGGACGAGGGGCGGGTGAGGCGCCCACAAAAATCCGGGAACTTTAATTTAAACTGGGTGGACGTCACCGAGAGTACAATAAAGAACATAGGAACTTCCGGTTACTCCGGAAGTGGAAGCTTCACATACTCCTAAGCTCCTCCCCCGGCGGCGAGCCAGGGAGAAAGGATGGCCGGTCGGGCGGCGCGGTTGGTCCTGCTAGCTGGGGCCGCGGCGCTGGCGAGCGGCTCCCAGGGCGACCGTGAGCCGGTGTACCGCGATTGCGTACTGCAGTGCGAAGAGCAGAACTGCTCTGGGGGCGCTCTGAATCACTTCCGCTCCCGCCAGCCAATCTACATGAGTCTAGCAGGTAAGCCCCACCCCCACGGTAAGCCCCGCCCATTTGTCTTGCTCCCGCCCCCTGCGCCCCCAGTACGCCTCTGCAATCCCTGAACCTTAGTTTCCACGTGAGGTCTCTTATGAATGTGAGTGAAGCCCCTAAGGTGATGAGAGCCTTACCAGCCTCTCTTACTTTCCCAGAAGCTTTCATTTACTTATTTATTCAGTCAAAAGGGTATTTATTAAATACATTCAGGCTACAATGTCTAGGAATGGCACAGAAATCAGACCAGGGTCCCACACATTGGGACTCACAGTCCCCACGGGGACATGAGCCTTCTCAAATGCAAGGCAGAGAATGATTTGAGCCCCTGAAAGACTCTTAGATTAAGAAGTGTTTGGGATAGGAAGGTGTGGGTTCTGGCTTTGAAGAGTTGGGGGCAGGGATCATCTTGGAACGTTTTGTGTGAAGGAGGGACTTTGGACTGGTACTTTCAGTTTGGACCATAGTGGGCAAAGAACCAACGTATTGAGCACTCACTGTGTGACAGATGTCACAGTATGTCCGGTAATTTTTATCACACCCTTTGAGATAGTTTCTCTAATCCCAGTTGTACAGATGGGGATTAGAGAGATTAAATGCCCTGCCTAAGGTCACACAGCCAGTATGTGGTAAAGTGGAGTTTCCAGTTCTGGCCTGTTTGACCACAAGCTTGTCCTCTTTACTATTATGCCACTTTGCATTCCAGACAGAGGGAACAGAGAGAATGGATGCCCTGGGCAGATGTGGGCACATCCAGGAGCTTTATTTACTCAGGGAGCAGGGTACATGAACAGGAGTAGTGACCAATATGGTTGAAAAGGCAATTTGGAGCCTCAAAAGTCAGGTTGAAGAATTTGAGCTTCATTTTCATAGGAAGGGGGTAAGATAGCAAGAACTCTTTCCAGGAGAGTAAGAGCAAATCCTATATTCAGGAAGGACAAACATAAGCCCAGGTTTCCATAGATGAGTTCATCAGATGCCAGGATCTTGATGGACTTGAGCAAAAGGAGAGGAAATGTTTGCCAACGTAGAAAGATCATTTGAGCCCTGGAGTTCAAGACTAGCCTAGGCAACATGACAAGATGCCATCTCTACAAAAATTAAAAGAATTAGCCAGACATTGTGGTCTCAGCTACTTGGGAGGCTGAGGTGGGAGGATCATTTGAGCCCAGGGGATCAAGGCTGTGGTGAGCCATGATCTCCCCACTGTACCCCAGCCTGGATGAAAGAGTGAGACCTGGTCTCAAAAAAAAAAAAAAAAAAAAACGCTGGGCGCCGTGGCTCAAGCCTGTAATCCCAGCACTTTGGGAGGCCGAGGCAGACAGATCACAAGGTCAGGAGATCGAGACCATCCTCATTAACATGGTGAAACCCCGTCTCTACTAACAAATACAAAAAAACTAGCCAGGCATGGTGGCGGGCGCCTGTAGTCCCAGCTACTCAGGAGGCTGAGGCAAGAGAATGGCGTAAACCCAGGAGGTGGAGCTTGCAGTGAGCCGAGATCCGGCCACTGCACTCTAGCCTGGGCAGCAGAGTGAGACTCCGTCTCAAAAAAAAAAAAAAAAAAAGACAAATATCTCTAATTGCTCACTAAAATATGCATACATATATACACCTTCCCCTATTTGTATGTATCCCCATCTCTCATTCATTCAAATGGGAAGCTAGAATTTTGAGATTTCTCCTGGTTCTCTCCAACCTACAGGCCCTCTTGGCCTGTATTTGAGCTTGGACCCATTCATGCTGTCTTTCCTCTCTGTGCTGGGGAGTTCACCAGGCCACATTTGTCTGTTTTCAGGCTGGACCTGTCGGGACGACTGTAAGTATGAGTGTATGTGGGTCACCGTTGGTCTCTACCTCCAGGAAGGTCACAAAGTGCCTCAGTTCCATGGCAAGGTGAGTTGGAGGGTCAGGGTAGGCATATGGTAGTAGTGTGGTAGGAGTAAGATACCCCCTGGTTGGACCACACTGTCCAAGCAGTCTGAGGCATGGGGTGATGGGTGTGTGTTTGAGGTGGGTACCTGTTCTCCCCAAAATCTGGTTTCCATAGAATTGGATAGGACCCATGTGTCCTGCCTCTGGATTTGGAGTAGCAATATCTGGAAGGCTTTGGAGTCTCCCCAGAGAGTGGTGCTGGGCCTCTTAGAGTGGTTGAGATGCCCACCTTACTGCAGGGACAAATTCCCTTACCTACTGTGGCATGTTTCCTGTTGCTTCTCCAGTAGGGGTCTGGATCCATAGTAATACACTTCAGCTTGCCCAGCGAGGCACAGTTTGCTGGTACCTTTCTTTCTTTCTTTTTTTTTCTTTTTTTTTTTAGACGGAGTCTCCCTCTGTCGCCCAGGCTGGAGTGCAGTGGCACGATCTTGGCTCACTGCAACCTCTACCTCCCAGGTTCAAACAATTCTCCTGCCTCAGCCTCCCGAGTAGCTGGGACTACAGGCGCACATGCCACCACGCCCGGCTAATTTTTTGTATTTTTTTTTTTTTAAGTAGAGACAGGGTGTCACCGTGCTAGCCAGGATGGTCTCAATCTCCTGACCTTGTGATCCTCCCACCTCGGCTTCCCAAAGTGCTGGGATTACAGGTGTGAGCCACTGTGCCCAGCCTGCTGGTGTCTTTCAATCCAGTATTATCTCATTCTGGCCTGTTGAGGTTGGCTGGAAGTATTCGCCCCCGTTTTTCACAGAGTGAGCTGAGGCTCAGTGGTAGAGGAGGGGTTGGGACCTGTGTCTTCTGGATGGCAACTCTGTGCTGTTTCTGCCAGGCCATACTGAGTCATCTACCCTGACCCATCTGGTCTTCCCAGAGATCAGGGCTTACAGTGCTGTGCCTGCTGGCCAGGATGGGGGCATAACCCTTAACCAGGCGCTGGAGGGGGGCTCACTGGTCTGAAGAGGTACTGAACCTGAGGCTTTGGTCAAACTCCAGAGCTGAGGACCCAGCTGAGGACCTGTTGCTGCAGCATGTCAAGAATAGGTGGACTGGGCCAGTTGAGGGTTGCCTGCCCCTCAAACCCCCTTCATCTGCTCCTTTTTCAGTGGCCCTTCTCCCGGTTCCTGTTCTTTCAAGAACCGGCATCTGCCGTGGCCTCTTTTCTCAATGGCCTAGCCAGCCTGGTGATGCTCTGCCGCTACCGCACCTTCGTGCCAGCCTCCTCCCCCATGTACCACACCTGTGTGGCCTTCGCCTGGGTAGGTAATCTAGCAGGACTCCTGCTGTCACCCCTTATCTAGGAAGGAGGAACTCTATATCCCTATTAACACCCAACTGGGCTTCTACTTACTAGCTTCCCCTCTGTTTTCCAGGGCTAAAGTTGCAACTACAGGGTGGTAAGGCCTGGGGAGAAAACAGGGAGGGTGCTAAATCGGGCCTTACGTTTCCAGCAGAGCCCTAGTTCAGGCTGTTTGGGAAGGAGAGAGGAAAGAAGGGCATTTTTCTTGTCCTGAAGAAGGAAGCCACTAAAAGACCCAGTAGGACAGTTTACAAACACAGAAGGGAAATGGGGGGCTAGAGAGGTTGCTGGGACCACAGGTCTTTCCAAGGGCCCCTCTGGAGGACTTGGAGCAATCTCAATTCCAGCCCAGGCCTGGTGGGGAGTCACAGCCATAGTCTCTGTTTAGAGCTCAGCCTAGTCTTTGTTTTTTTTGGTTTTTTGGTTTTTTTTTTGAGATGGAATCTCACTGTGTCACCCAGGCTGGAGTGCAAATGGCGCAGTCTTGGCTCACTGCAACCTCTACTTCCTGGGTTCAGGCGATTCTCCTGCCTCAGCCTCCCAAGTAGTTGGGATTACAGGTGCATGCCACCACGCCTGGCTAATTTTGTATTTTTAGTAGAGATGGGGTTTCTCCATGTAGGTCAGGCTGGTCTTGAACTCCTGACCTCAGGTAATCCACCCGCCTCAGCCTCCCAAAGTGCGGGGATTACAGGCATGAGTCACTGCACCCAGCGAGCTCAGCTTAGGCTTAGACTATCCCTGGAGAAGCCCAGGTATGGTTACATCTGCAGGTGCAGAAAGGGCTGTCAGCTTTACAGTATGGCTGGTCTGAAGAGCTGTATTCAGGGCCTGATATAGTGTGATAATCACAGACAGGGGTGCAGATATGAACCATGAAAGCCTTGGGAAGGGCGTGAGAATAAAAGGGTACAATGGATGTCTCTAGGTCAGAGCTACCCCTGTAAGCCTTAAGGAAAAAATTTCCACTCACTCACCTTCCTGCTGTCACGGAAGCCATTCACTCAGGTGTTGAGCACCTACTATATGCCAGGCACTTTACTGGGTACTGGAGATCCAGAAGTCTGCCCTCTGGTGCTAATCATACAATTGAATGTAAGAGTACACCTATGAAAAAGTGCAGTCGGAGAGAGGTGCTTCAGCGGTGTGTGTAATGGCAGACCGAGACCAGCATGGGGCTGTCAGGGAAGGCTTCCCCGGGGAAGGGGCATTAAAGGTAAGGTGGGAAGGATGCATGAATGTTAACTAGGTAAATTTGAGAAGAGTAGTGGAAGACTTCTAAAGAGAAGTCTTAGAGAGTGCCCAGGTGGGAGAGAGTGAGGGTCGTTCCAGGCAGCCTGACATGCAGGAAATCAGAGAGTAGGTGTGAGATGGGTGGTGGATGGGGCCAGCCATGGAGAGCCTCACATTGGAGATCTTGACTCTCAAAGCATCAGGAAGCACAGAGGGATTTTATTTTATTTTATTTTATTTTATTTTATTTTATTTGAGACAAAGTCCTACTCTGTTGCCCCAGCT